TCTATACTCAATATGGATTATTTAAGCGTTGTGATTTTTGTTCAGTCGCATCGAACAGAAGTCATCATAACATCGAAATGGTTCTAAAATAATAACTCTATAATAACTCTAAAAGTTACTTTTCAATCAGTTACGATTCATTTTAACGTCTTTTTGACGTTGTTGTAATTTGTTCTGCTTGAGAACAAATATTTTTAAACATTACTTGAAAATATTACATAGAAATATTATTACATAAGCACCAAGATCCAGCTTTGCGATCGTAATTTGTCGCTTTTTATTTATTTATGTTAGTCACACTGCAGTCTAACTTATTATTGATTGATTGAAGACATAAGAGAGATATTTTCAATATTTATATGGAAATAATGAAGATTTAATTTTATTCATGTAATTACCTTTAAACAACAAATAGCTCATGTTGGGTAGAGTTACGTAATTCAATAATCAATTTGAATATTAATCGTTTCTATTAAAATAATTGTGGTACTTTTATCAGACGTGAATATTTGCAAAGTTCAAACGTTCTCTCGAACGTTCGAACTTAATAAAGTCGTTAATACATTAAAAATACATTCAATTAAATTTAATCTTCAAGAACACCGAGCAGTCTCCACTTCAAATTTATTTTCTAAATAATTAATTCTTGGCTTTTATTTACATATATATAAATACTAAGAAAGCAAATTATTCTTAACATGATATTTTCAAGAGAAAATAATTTCGATGCTAATTTCATATATTACAATTATATATTATAGAAGAAATACGTTAATGTTTCTTCACACTTACGCCAAAGTCAAAACATTGATAATTTAATTATTCCTCTACTGAAATAATATCAAAATATATAACCTTGTGACATATTTCCAAGATTTCTCTATAATAGTGGAGAAAAATGGACTTGTCTAATTATCGTGACTGGATCTACCAGTTCCGACGACAGAAAAATATCTGATTATTAACAGTCAAGCCGTCAATTTCTGTCCAGCCGCTGACGTGATAAAACTATCCAGTAAACAACAATTAACAATAATATAACATCAGTATTATAATTTCATAATTAAAAAATATAAATGTAATATAATAACTCGATATAATTCATGGTGTAACATAACAATCACATTGAGTGTGAAATTATAACTGACGTTATGTTACTGTTAATCTGGAAACACTGGTAGTGTCTCGGTTAATATTTACTAGATATATACGGATACATCTAATAAACTCTCTCGAAAATTTACCTCTCATACAATGAGATCAGAAAGAGTGGGCTTGTTCGATTATTGCAAACCGAAATTCGTTCTCTGCTTCGTAGCAGTTCGAGAGAAGAAAAAACATTGGAGAGATTCCCTTTTATCACAGAATTTTTTTCTTGCTTTCGCAATAATTCATTGGACAAATTCGCGAATATTTTGTTTTTGTGGAATATCAAACGAGGCAGTTTCTAAATCTCGGATCCCGCTTTCTGGAGTATACGAGAAGGGAACGGCGATAATAATTGACAGGTTTCCGATGGGCCACCCCTGCCCTCTCTGCGCGAGGGGGCTTCCCTCCCCTTTCCCTCCCCCTCGTTTGGTCGAGTTACCGCGCTACGCAATTACAAATATTTACAAAATCACAATCGACCCTTACGGCTTGAGTCGCTTGTTCCGCTACTTCTCTATAATCTCGTTAATGTTTCGCGAAACACGTGTATAGTTTATTGTATATACACGCACACGCGAGGATGTGTGCCGTCGTAGACGCACCCGTTAATTTTACTGCCGCACATTTGCCTCGCAACGAACAGAAAAATCCCTGTGCGTTTCAACACGATTATCATTTCGTAACATCAAACATAATCATTATCGAACGAATGTCAATCGCGAACGAGAGAGCACACTATAAATATACGACTCTGACGAGCAAGAAAAAGTAAAAATCTTAGTTTCATTTGATTTTGGACACCCTTTAAAAAAATATGGGTGGATTTAATTCTAAAAAATATGAATGTGTTTATGTAATTCTCACCGTGTTAGGTGTTGATATAAACACACAACATGGTGTGTATCTAACATCATGATTTAAAATCCACACGATGATAGTGTTTATATCAACACCAACATGGTGAAAACTACATCTAATATATCATGGTGTTAAATTCCCATCCATATTTTTAGAGTGTACAATTAATATAATTATTTCCTTATACAATATCGTCGGACATTTACACATCAGATATCCTTCGACCGATCGTATTTAGCATTAAACTCTAAAAAGTCTGGATGTGGATTCGAATCCTGGGTGTTAAATATTGAATAAACTCTTACCGTGTTGATGTTGATGTAAACACCACAGATCTAACACCATGAGTTTTAAACCATGGTATTCAATCCGCATCCATGGTGTTAAATCCACACCATTTGTTGATGTTCAATCAACACGGTGAGAATTATAATTAACACTTATAGTGTTAATTGAATCCACAGCCATATTTTCTAGAGTGTACAATTAGTGCAATTATTTCCTATAATATCGTCGCGTTATATCAAATATCGCTCGACCGGCCGTATTTATCACTGAACGTAGCCACCGTGTTTCTCATAAGAAAGGGAGTTCGTAAATTTTTAATTATCCTAATCGTATTAATGGTTTCTATCTCTTTTTACAGAACGAATTAGGCAAATGGGATCAGTCGCACGCGTTTAACATTATAGATGCTCTAAACGGCAGGAATACAGACCTGTTTACGTCACGACGGCGTCGATAAGAACCTCGCGTGTGTGACTCACGCTAAACGCGCGCCTAGAATAATGCTAGAACAGCTTGCTCGATTGCGCAACTTTGCCGAGCTGTCTGTCTTTTCAATACTGTACGAGTCGTGTTTATATATATGTTTATATATATGTGTGTGTAGGTGTTTTGTGTGTGTGTGTGTGTGTGTGTGTGTGTGTGTGTGTGCGCGTGTGCGTGTGCGTGTGCATGCGTGCGTGCGTTCGTGCGTGCGTTTTGTGCGATACGTGCGTGGGCCTACGCACTTCCGGTTGTACGAGTGACCGCGCTTAATTACACCTCGGCTTGCCGTCCGATTGTTTGCGTCGCGTTCAAAAAGGCGAAGCGGCCGGGTTGTCATGGTTAATCCTAATAAACAAATTAATGAACGCGAGTACGGCGAGATTTGCCCTCTTCGATTCGCGACGGAGAACGAACGAGGATGCGCGATCGATTGCGGTAATTGTGATGCCTGACACTGTGATCGTCATTTCTTCACGTTGTACAACTATTAAATAAATCATCGTTCTTTAAATTACAATGGAATACCTTTAATGGCGAACCGGATGTTAAGCTGTAATACTTTGATATGTATTGTTGCGATATTATTTAATTAGTACTGTTAACATTACTGTTAATAACGTTAATTAGTAATATTAACATTACCAATTGTGTATTAATGATGGCGTCAAATAACCCATACAGCACAAATCATCCCAACGTTGCGGATAATCTTGCAAGCGTTTCGCGGCAACGTTGCTACAGGCCCTGTGCTGGAAAGGTGCCACTGACATCAATATTGTAATACCAAATGTTAATTCATTTAGCGTGATATTACAGCTTAGTATTTGTTCGCTGACGTACGCTGACAACATCGCATTTGTCTTTTATCGCAATTATGTTGATCGACTTCAATTTGCTCTCCTTCACGAGAGCAATCCGAGAATCCATTAGCACTCTAACTTCGCGTCCAAAGTTCACGTGACTGTCGCTCCCCGCAAGAACTATTTCCCGCTTACGTCAGCGGGAGACTTCGGAGAATCCTCTTGTTCTGGGCACTCAGCGACTGTTTTAAGACTACCTCTTGTGGTTGTGTCCGCTGCCTTTGCTCCTGGGACTGTCCGAGGTCATGTCATTGGGCTCTCTCCTCTGTCTCAAGATGAAGTTGAGATTGTGCGCGGTATTTACAGCGTAATAGACGTTAGCCGAGTTGGGCAGTACCATTTCCCGATCGGGTAACACTTGGGCCAGAGTGTACTGATCGGGACTGCCTTCAAGGCCGAGCTTCAGCATGGCGTTTCGGATAACCTGCGGCGTTCGCTCGTTATTTGATAGCATTATCGACTTGTACAGCACCACGCCTTGCGTTTCCACGTTATCCGTCTCCATGGTGACTTTGATAATATAGAAATCAGGCGAGCTCTTGTGCGAGTGACTGGGACTAGACAGTCCGGCGAGATTCGGAGTGCTACCGTTGGCCGCCACAGCACCGACTGGGGGTGCCAGACGAGTCTGATGACTGCCACCTCCACCGGAGCTTAGGGATACGTCCAGGGACGGTAGAGACGAGCTCGAGGACGAACTGGACATTTGTGACGGTGACGTTCGCCGGTCCAGCGAGTTGTGAGGCGAGCTCGGGAGGGAATCGAGGTCGCAGTAAAACTGCGAACTGCTCGAACTGGACGTTGAGGCAATTGAATCATTCTTGCGGTGACCTTGATGACCCTGTAAGACAAGACATCCCATGATTAAATTCTCGTTTGAACCTTTGATAATCGCAGATAGTTTTTTTAATAGCAAGATACGTGGCTTACTTTAAAAATATTCGAAATGTATATGATTATCATTACTAATATCGTCTCATGTACTTGTTTTGTGTGACTTTGGTGAAGAAATTTTGGCGCTTGGATTAGATAATTTTGAGAAATTTCTTGATATTTACGTATAATATATATATATATAAGGAGAAAATAGATTAGAACAGCCTTCGCCAAAAGTATAGAATACCTATCACAATTGATGTAAATATATTTTACATTTAATGAAAAATAATATTTATTTTTCCACTTTAATATTTCGTTAGTTCTTCTTTGGATCTTATTACCGGTTTTTCCAAGAAAATGCAATAAATTAAAGATGTCTCATACTTATAGCTAAGGCTGTATTTCTTATTAGATAAAAAAATAATCACCTGTTTCTTCTTGCCGCGATTGTTGAGAGTGTTCCCTGGTGGTGGCTCGATCTGACAGCTGAGCTTGTACGCTTCCCGATCGTCCAACACCACCACCGAGTGGAACCAACGATCGAACACGGGATCCATGCTGAAATTATATGCATTTGCCGCGCCCTGCAGAAGTCTTATCCTGGCGAGCACCTCGAACTCCTTCCGTCTTTTATCAAAATTGATGAGACCATCGGCTATCGTATCCGGAATCGCTGTGTCGATCATAGTGAGGTCAGTCAGGAAGGTACCTAGGTACGGTATCGTGCCGTAACTAATGTTCTGAAATCAAATTTCAGAAAAATTCACCAATACTGCAAGTTTAAGAGAAAAGGAGAATAGCGCAGAGAATATAATACGATATTCGTTCGTTCATATAAATAAAACTGGTCAACTTTCTGTGTAATCTAATCTATGTTTATAATTATTTGCGAATCGATACTTAATACGCCTTGAGCTCGTTGTTCAGCATAAATTTATATATAATTAGTTTGATAAATTTCTGATTCTAAAGAA